GTAGTCACTGCTACCAGCTATAAGTTCAAAATTCAATAGATCTCCCAAACAACGCGCGATCGATTGTTTCTCTCTTGAACGTGGAGAAAACCGATGTCTATGTAATGGACCAAATGCGAAGACCCGACTATTCAAGTGCGCAGCCACAGTTTTACAGTCTTGACCGGCTTATGAAAGCAAACTAAAAACCCTCGTGGGCGGAAGAATTCAAAATGAAGTCTAACGGTGGTAGAATCAACAAGGACTGCTCTAATTGTAAACCATAAACAGTTAGCAGAAGAAATTTCCACTTAATTGGAGCTCTATAGAAACTGTCAACGCATAAATGCTTGAACTACGCAGGGAATTCAGGGTAACTGGAATCCAATATAAGGATTCATTTTATGCGATGAGCGTGACAGTTCAAGTGTCCCGACACGTGGAGGATTTGTATGGTCACTTAAGCAGGACGCGGGAATAGAAGCATCCTGCCCACCTAAAATAGGCAGCCTTGTGATAAATTTCAGGAAGGGAAAATGTTCCCGTGCCTTAAATCTCATACTAAAGCTAAACATGACATAAAACTAAAATGGTGACCCTAAGCCTAACCCTAGTCCTACCCTAAACACTGCAGTTAACACAAACCTAAACCTTGCCCTTTAACACAATCCTGACACAAACCCAAACTCTGACCATAGCTCCAACCTCAAACCTAACCCTAACCCTCGCCTTCATTCTAAACCTAATTCCTCCAAAAATTGGCTCAAAGTCACAGATATTGTGGATGGTTCTCGGTTCCTGTTTCAGTGGCCATAACACCATCCCTACCCTGCTAAACTTCACTAAACCTAATACCCAAACCTAACACTAACACACTAACACTTAATCTGGGCCCACATCTCATGCCTGACGCAAATCCGACCAAAAAATAAGACAAACTCCTAAGAGTAGCTGAGTACGTTAACGAATAATAAGGGGGGGGGCAGCAGTTGCTATAGTATTATGCGTACTGTTGGGGTTTTTAGGTTATAAATTGGGAGCGTTGTAATTTGCACTGTCAGAAGACGTTTGCTTCTCGAACAAACTATCTACCAGTTTCGATACCAACTCTTCACCCCGAGGCCACGCCCGCGACCTGTGCCAAGTACTCCTTACTAGTGTAATGGGTGCATTGTATTCACCTGTCTGCTAGGATTTTAAGGCAAGAACTCTCATTCGCTAGACTTTCAGACGTTTTACCCGGCCAGTAGCTTCACCGGGTACGGCGTCAGGTCTTGGTACAATACAAATGCATAAGGGAATTTATTTTTTCTTCCTTTGCTAGGATGATTTCTACTCAGTTTCCGGATAGGAAAATGTACTCTAGCAAGAGAAACCGTTGAGCGGGTAGCTTCAATGCTTCCTGTTTCTCCTGTTGTTTTAGCGTTCTCATCCCTTTGAGTCTCATTTGACAGGTAGAAAATATGAAAAAGCGGAAAAGAGTGTTGCTCAGGTAGTTTCATTTCCTGAATACACCGCGTAAGTACGAATTCTGTCAGTCAGGATACGGGCCGCGTTGCTCGCTGTCGCCGGTTGGATTTCATAGCCACTGGGCCAGCTCGCGCCCACTTCACACATTGCTGTCGTCGTTCCCAACTCAAGTGGCCTCTTGAGCTCCTGAAAGAGAGCCGACGGCGTCGGTTACCGTGACTGCCTCCGTTATCCGTTATTCAGACGTCGCAGCGCCCCCCCCCCTTTGATCCCTCACTCCACTGCTCTCGTCAGCCCTTTTCGCACTGTAGTCTGCCACCCACTTCTGACGAAGCTGGACACTTCAAAACTATACAGTAGAATGGGAGGTGACGTAATTGTCTCTGCCTCCGCTTCCCGAAATTCGCCCGTTTCTCGATAGTCTGCTGAGGAGGGCTCTTTTCCTTCCACCTTGTGCCGATAAGGGGAGTTGGCAGGACCGCTCCATCGAAGTTTGGACACAAAACCGGCTTTAAGCCTACTTCTAGATTGATCTTATTTAAGGAGATATCCGCCAGCTCAGTTCAGATGGCGTCCGACCTAACCGCACCGCACCTCGCCCAGTACAGAATGAATTTCTGACAAAATACCATGAGTGAAATCATTAAATGGTCCCTTTATTACTGTACTGCAATATTTATAATATACGTACTCAGATTTTATGGAAGGTCCGCACATTGACCTGTCGGATAAACTCTTAAAATATGGTATAAGTCGCAAACACAGCGACGTTCAAAAACATAACCAGATTTATTCCTATGCAATTTTTGTTAACTTTTACGTGTTAAAAGGAGTACTACTTGGGGGAATTTTTTGGAGCGCAAACATTGTGCTCAGACCCAATTCCTGCGAGGCAGTCACTAAATGTGTCAAACATAACCAATGAATTACCATTATAATGCCAGTACGGATGTGAGAAAAGCAGCCACCCGCAAAATAGGTGTCTTTGCACCAAATTCCAGGTAAAATATGGTTATGCGCCGGTTTAGGGTTACGATTAGCATTAAGGTAATTTTAAAGTGAAGGTTATGTCAATGTTAACTCTAGGACTAGGGTTAATAAATTTATGTTAGGGCTAATGTAAGGGTTAGGACACGGGAATATATACCCTTCTTGCAATTATGCACAGCGCAACCTTTATTATTTGGGCGGTGTGTCCACAATCCCCTCTCCTATTTATAGGAGCTATACAGGTAATTCTTATCGTTGTGCTAGCATATTTGCGTGATTTGAGTGAAAAAAATACCTTGAGGATTAACAACATACAAATTCTGAGTGCAATCGGGCGCCTGTAGTTATAAACTTCGCGTAAAATTTCCTACGTGGTTCAACTTTGAAAGTAAACTGTAAACGGAACATTAAACAAATCGCTAAAAATACAGATCCGTTGTCTGTCCAAACAAAAGATTTGTATTATCCAACTTCGCCCGTGAGTGGAATTCACCAATATATCCAGACTGTCTAACGTTACTAGGCAATTCGGTGTGCCCTGAAACCCTCAGAAAGGAGTGGACGGTCAAGAACCCGTACCGCAATCGCGGGGCATCTGATTTACTGCGTGAGCAGCAGTGCCTGAGATTGCTTTCGGCCCGCAACTTGTGCGTATTTGCGCATAAGCAAAAAAATCGCATTACAGTCTCCCTTCTTACTGACGCTAATCCCTCTTGGTTTTGGTTCACATAAGCTACAGAGTAGGTCAAACGTGCTGCATACTACATATTACAATGCCAGTCTTTTATACATATATGAGAGTTTCCCCGCTACAGAAAACTGTTC